CATTTCTTTTCATTTTCTCAATTTTCCTGTTCCCTATTAATTTATCTGAAACTTTCAGAATGTCACAGAAGAGCCGACTGTGGTGTCATACGGGTGTAATCGAACACAGACGAAAGTGGTGTGTAAAAAATGAAATTTATTAACTTTATTAGGAGATTTTATTAAGGACGAGAGTGGTTTGTAAAAAAGGAAATTTATTATTTATTTTTATCTAGACCGTAGCCTCAATTTAACAACTACCCTGCTCAAAGTAAACTAAATAAATAGACCCACTACAAGGAGAGATAATTTAAGAACGGCTACCACACCGCAACATACTATCGATATTCCCGGTGTGAAGCCGCTCTACTTTGAGACCATCTACGCGTCTCGCACTCTTGAGACCTACACGTACAGACTCGCGCTTCACCTGTCACCGACGCCGCTAGCACAGGAAGACTGGGGCATTGTTCTCCTGGCCTTATATAGGCCCTTTTTGGCTCTACCCGCTGTCCCATTACCTCCTCCCCAAAGCCGTTGTGGGCCCGCTACGTCCACGGAAAGTCCCAGTGTGTCATCACTCCGCCCTTTGTTTAACATCCGGCGGTTTGAGCGTGGCACGACGCTACAAAAGACGAAAAGACTGCCATTCAGACAGACGTTCCGGGTGATCTAATGTCAGATGTGCATATGCCATACAGGCGAACGATCGGACAGACGGATAAAACACTTTTTCAGTATCAGGAATCTCTCAAAACTTCTATTGCTGTGAAAACTTCGATGTCGACGTTTTTGCAACATTACAGTACTTTGTTTATCTTACGTATCTAATATATAAAAATAAGTGTTTGTTCGTATAGACGCAAAATGAGGTCGTTGTTGATGGTTTTAGACGTTTGCTCAAGCGCCCCTGAAGAGAAACTTTACGCAGCCAGCCGCACAAATTATGAGTACCCGAAAAGTACTCATATTTTCGAAAACTTGTATATGACCGTATTTCAAAATCTATCTTTAAGGAACAGATTTGGTACAGGGAAAAATCGCTAATCTATAATATTATAGTTGTAGGAAGACTACTAAAAAATGTTGAACTTTTGCAATTTTCAAAAATCGGATTTTCAATCAACATGAGACCTGCGCTATTCTCATAAACTCCCTTTACATTACCCAACAACAAAATTTAATCAAAAACGATGGAGCAATATTTTTAAAAAATTTGGAAAAGGTCCAAGGGGATTCGTGTAAAGTACCCCCTAAAAAAACTGAAATATCGGTTTAAAATTCAATTTGCCGCGGCATCAGCCAGAGCGATTGGGGAATATCAATTTTGGAGAAAATCGTCTAAACGGTTTAGCCGCTAGCGTTGTTAGATTTTTCGGCATTGAGGACTCACAAAACATGAATTGTGGCTACATCACGTGATAGAAGATTTTTTTTCTAAATTCAGCAACTGTATTTATCCACTTTTTCGATACTAGGGCTCTTTAATAAGATTTTCTTCTCCTGAAAATTCGCCCTTTTTTCGCGCAGCATTACATAACTTTCTTTCTACTCCGTAGGGAGAAAATAATCGGTACGCTTTTGGCGGGGCTGAATTATAAACGAACTTTCTCTTATTATTAAATATTGTTCTTCGATGAGAATAATATCAACTGATTTTCCTCTTTAAAGTTGAATCAATATCTCCGCATGGCGAAATAACCAGATAGTGACAAACCCCATTTATAGAGAATGATTTTTATAAGGATCGTTTTGACAGCTAGTGATGGCAACATAACTGAATGTTCTGTGGTCGTTGTGTCATTCAGCTCATTTGACTCTCCTTCCTTCTTTCGTTCGTTGGCAGTTGGCTAACTTGTAGAAGGCTTCAACGCTTCCCTTTGTGATATCCTCGTCCGACGAAAATATAGTTCGCCACGAAAAATAATTGAAATTAGGGAGTGAGTACTGCTGTGCTCTTCTGTAAAAACTCTTTTTTATAAACATTACATTGAATTCACTTTTTGTGCGTTAATGTTTATTTGAAAACAGTGCTTTGAATGTCAGATACATACTGGTGCACGTGTTTCCTGCTTCTGTGCGGTAAGGTAAAGAGCTGCCATCGAGAACCTTCTTGGTTCCATGCTTTGCGATTTATCAATTTATTCTTTATATTTACACGACTGTGAACCATAAGAACCCATGATGTCTTAACGGGAGCCATATACAAACATAAACACTTTACGAGGAATCGTGGCTGAACAGCTGTCACGGAGGGGCAATACTGTCATTTTGGCTCATTCTTAGGCGGATTCTTCTATATCAATATTCCTTATGAATTTTATGTAATAAGCTCTTATTGCCTAGAATCATATTTTTAGTTACTAAAATTGATTGCCATTATTTAATGGTGTAATTTGAAACTTAGTTTGAATCCACTGAGAACATGATCGAGCTCGATGCGTTTTGGTATTTGAAAACATAATCATTGTAATAGTAACTTTCCAAGTCGATTCTCATTATTTAAGGAGTATTTATTAAAAAGTGTAGTTCATACTCTTGTATTAAGGTGAATCGTTCGAAAGTTATATAATTTATTTACTGCTTACTAATTAAATAAAGAACGGTAATAATTTTGTAAATTATATTTCACTAACTTACTGACAGGTAAATATAGAAGTATTTTACAATATATGGATTAGTAAAACAGATTTTATTTCCAAATGTGGAGACGGGATGAAAATAATACAAAAGTTTATGTAAGTGGGAGTTTTACTTGTTTAACAGAGTTTTAGTAATAATTTTAGGAGGCACTCGAAAACCTTCTGGATAGAAGGAAGTTGAAAACGAAGCTTTCATGACGTAAACATTGCACTCGGATTACTATTTCCAATGAACGTTGCTCCGACTGCAGCAGTTGGAAACAGTAGTATATTCTCTGAAATTCGAAACCTCAAAGGAAATCCGGTGGCATGAAACCCTAGATGTCTTGTGATTACCCATTTGATTTGATTTATTTTCGTCAAAAAACAATAAAACGGTATGTGATGTATATGGGAGAAATATAAAGTTGTGCACCTTTTTCTTGAACTTCAAAATTCATTCCCCGCCCCATGAATAAAAGAATCAAGAAAGTGAAGTTAGCAACATTTTTAAACCAGACATTTTCGCTCAAATATAGAAAACATTTTCGTCGGTAAGCGAACTGCAGATTTGATTTTGTAATATTGCTAACAAAATAGCAACCTACACCCCAACTCTACTCCTTCCATAACTAACAAAAGAAGAGCTCAATTAAACGTGTGCATAATGAAGTCCAGAATAAAAACAAGGGGTCATCATAGCATTTGCTCAATGAATTTCTCTGGGAATCTGGAGAGAAAACCTAATCGAGATGATGGTCATTGACACGGAATTTGAAGTAAGCCACTAGTTAAAGGATTAAAATTAGACCGTACAGATGTAAACAAATTTTTGAAATATTAACGTTAAAATAAATATTAGTTTCCCTTTTGGTGTTCAGTATAGTACCTAATTCCATGGAAACCCATTTGCAGCAGAAAATATTTTACATGGCCCTTCAACTTGTGTGTTCATTTGAATGGTTTAGTGTCATCCAATGTGTTTTAAAGTAACGTACGTTTTGTATGTGGGTTTCTTGTGGTGATAGTGACATTGTAATAAGTATGATTTCTATGACGAGTGATGTAATTATAAATATATGTATTGCATGAAAATATATTTCCATCCTTAATTTAATCATTTTGGACTATAAATTCACATTTGTAAATCAGGCGCGGATCCACGGGGAGTGAAATGAAGGAAACCCCCTATTTTTTGTAACTATTAATTTCAAATTGTCGCGAAATTTTTAAGCGAAAATATTTTTGAATCATTAAAACGAATAAAATCGTATCACAGCAGGAGCTGAGTTTAGCCTACAACATTTTACGAAATCTGTAATGACACATTCGACAAAAACATTTTGAATTTCCCCTCCCAAAATTTGTCTCTGGATCCGCCCTTGCGTAAATCTAGAGGAAGACAATGGTAAGACACCAAGCTCAATGAAGCGTTGCAGAAACCACGTGGTTGGCATTTGTCTGGATCATGTGGATGGCTGCATTTCGTACAATATTGTTTCTGCTGGGTACAAAGTCTGGGTACTGTAGGATGTAGGCTTCCCTGAAATAGTAATAAGTAAATAATAATAGCCATATCTCAAACAAGTACTATGTACGTTCACAAAATACATATAAGGAACTGCATGAAAGCCTTATAAACATGCCTTAAAAGAAAGAGGATATCGGACCAATCGAACTCTACGGGATCCCATGCTTAATGGACAATAAGTGAATTACGTGCTACAAAGTTTGTGAAGTTCCTTGGCCAAAACATATTGCCCTGAGACGATCACTGACAGCGAATTCTTTCAGGTTAAGAATGTGCAGCAAATCTTTATGCGTGTGCAGATAACTTTATTCAATCGTTTCTGTTTTTAAGTACATACTACATGTTGGAGGGGTTGTTAAGTACATACTACATACTACAAGGGTGCTATAGCTCCGCTCCCAATAGGTAAGACATATAGATGCCGAGAATTATACTAGTATATAGATTAATTTATACGTTAATAGTAAAAATGAAATGAAATTTTGTGGATGAAAATAGGAAAAACCCTATCACCCCTTCAGGCCCGTGAGGCCTACTCGTTGAGTTGTCTGTGCGTTATTATTTTGAGAAACCGTCAATTCCAATATGGTTTCACAGAGGTGTTAATTGCAACCTTAAATGAATTAGTTAACAATTGATTAATATTATTACAATATGAAGAATAGAATAACAATAGTGTAATTCCTTCATTTCTGTTGACGAAATGGTTCAGAACAGACGTAGACAAAATGGCCCAACCATCAATCGTCTGGCAAGGCAAAATTTATTTCGTCATATCAGAGATCGAATATAACACTGTATTTTATATTCGTCAAAGTAGACTCATCGTGCAAGAGTAGGCGTCGATTTCCCATAATACCTATGACAAATTTATATGTCCCTTAAATCCCAATGAAACGATTGATCGTCGGATCTGCGTCGAATATTTACTTAGCCTATACAACTACTGTTAGAATGTAGTCGCGTCAATTGCTGATCAACTTGCTGAACTAGACATATTTTGACTCATTACGTCAGTAACCACGTGTTATCAGTCTGTCACAACAATTTCAGAAACTACGTTTTAAAGGAGGAACTGGTAATTGGACGAACCGGGAGGGAGGAACCAAGAACCAAAAGAGGATACCACGCCGTAGCCTTCAAACGCTCTCAAACAAGTCTATTGAAAACAAAGCTTGATCAGAACCAGTTATTACTTTTTGAATTTTAAATTTTCGAAATGCGCAATAGGATAATACAGATAACATGTTAGATAGTAGAGAACCGCAATGAAAACAACGTGAACTGATGGATGAAAACAAATTCGCATCGTAAGCGTAAAGTAGCAAGCAGTGCAGTGATGGCAGGTTGCGTCGCGAATATGTTACAAGATTGTGTATATCTCCGGTTAACAATGTGGAATATGTCTCTGGCGACAAATATAGTATATAAGTTATAGGTTTGATATGTAATTTTAAATTAGTTAGAAACGAAATGGCATCAAACGAAAATGAACTAATTATTGAAGAAGAGTGCGTTGATTGGACAGTGCCACTTGCTTTTATGAGAAAGCGACATACAGAAAGTATTGAAGGAGCGAATTCGATTACGCAGACATGGAGAATGAAAGAAAGAGTAAGATTACTGTAAAATTTATAATATTGTCAATGAAGTGTTGTAGATATTTATGTGCATTGTTATTTTGAACCATAAAATATATTTTTATTTTTACTGTTGAATGTGTTAGAATTCTTTTTTCTGATTTTTCAATTCATTCACCTCCCCCAACGACCTGTAGCTTGACGCCTTTTTGGTTATTCCACTCTCCTGATGTTTCTTCAAGTCCTACTGATGTGCAGGAGAAAATGATTAATTTGCTGTCAATGTAATTGTGAATGAATGACAAATGTACTCCAGAAGATACCTCTTGATGAGCCCAATAAAAATCAAGTAAATACATGTTTTGGTATTTCATAGATGAAAACTGTCAGTGTGGCCCTTGTACTCTGCCTGAATGTGGGTGTGGATCCTCCTGACATTGTAAAAACACAACCTTGTGCTCGATTGGAATGCTGGATTGGTAAGTGTCAAGATTGTCACCATTAATTGCAAATTCAAATGTGGGTTGTCATAAAACCTGGCTCATTCATTGAGAAATAGTAGCCACACAACCCCTAAAAAATATGATTGGAAGCTCATGAGAAATTTCATAAGGAAATCAGCCTTCAGAGGCATGTAGTGGTGTAATAAAATGCATGTTAATGACAGAAACATTTCTCTCTTAGTGCATGGAATAATGTATTACGGGTAATGCAAAGGTGTTTTGTTAATTTGATAAGTTTTTTCTTATTTTTCTGAAAAATATTAATTAGCCATTTTTACCAAAAAAATTAGTATTTTAATTTTTCTGGTGTAAGTATTTCCATTATTAAGATTCTTGACTTAAAATCAAACTGTCAAACCCCTGGTTAGCAGAGAACTCTTGGCGACCTCATCAAGAAATAAAATCAAAAGTATTTTTGTCTTCTATAAAATTCATTAACCATATATAGCTGCAAGAAATTACTGGAAAATAAAAATTATTTTTGTTATTCAAAAAGTTGAATGGAGAATTCACATGTTTGCCCCTTGTAGATCCATTGTCGATGAGCCCACAAAAAGCTCTGGAAACAATTGGTGCAAATTTACAAAAACAATATGAACGTTGGCAGCCTCGTGCTAGATACAAGCAAAGTTTAGATCCTACTGCAGAAGAAGTTAAAAAGCTTTGCACTTCACTGAGGCGTAATGCCAAGGAAGAAAGAGTTCTTTTTCATTATAATGGACATGGTGTTCCTAAACCCACATCAAATGGTGAAATTTGGGTTTTTAATAAGGTATTATCATAGACATAATTCAAAGTATACAATTAGAAATGGACATGTGCGTTAAACACTTGTAATATTACATTTTGTTGTAGACGTATACCCAGTACATTCCATTGTCAGTATATGATCTTCAGACATGGATGGGGGCACCATCCATTTATGTATATGATTGTTCCAATGCTGGTATAGTAGTAGATTCTTTCAAACAGTTTGCAGAGCAACATGAAAGGGAATATGAGGTTGGTAGTTATTTTATTAGAGTGTATTCAGTTTCATTCAAAATATGTATGTGATAATGTTTTTCTTTGATTTTTAGCAAATGGTCGCTCAAAATAGAAATCCAGTGCCTCCTCCATCTTTTAAAAACTGCATCCAGTTGGCTGCATGTGCTGATAATCAGATTTTGCCCATGAACCCTGATTTGCCTGCTGACATTTTTACATCCTGTCTTACAACTCCTATCAAAATAGCACTTCGATGGTGAGTTGTGTTATATTCTTGTGCTGATGCCACATGAAAGTAGAAAATTAAGAAGTACAAAATGTAATGTAAATGTTTCTTTTCCTAGGTTTGTTATGCAAAATACTTCAAAGTTGGTGCCTAAAATATCCATGGACCTTATAGACAAGTAATTCCTCTTCTTTACCACAATTTTCTGATGAGTATTGTCACAAGAGAAGACAGATAGTTTGCAACAGCTGTCACTCGGTCGTTAATGTTGCAGTAAATAGGAAACTTCATCACAATTTATGTTCACTAAATTGCATAGAGTCAGTTTTTCAACAATATCTTTGAAATCCCCTTATTCTAAGTTTAATGGATATTGAATTTAGAGGTTTGATTTCAATATTTGCAAGTCTGGTGAAGTCAAAAGTCATCTATTTTTTAGCCATAGTGATCTTGATTCATTAGTGAGCTTTGGACGGAAGATAAACTGTATTGTTTTGATCCAGATAATTTTGAGTTTTAAGATTTTTTAAATGATCCTTGCTTACCAGAGATTAAATCTTACTAATGCCTTCTTAAGCTTTTCATCTATTTTTTTTGACATAAAAAATATATTTTTGTTTTTCAAGAATACCTGGGCAGTTAAATGATAGACGGACGATGCTAGGTGAACTTAATTGGATATTTACTGCCATTACTGACACTATTGCTTGGAACACATTACCAAGAGGTGAGTTGTTTTTGTAGATGTGGAATTTATTGGTTCCCTTAAATTTCAAACTGTATTTTTAATAATTTACTTTTCATCAGACTTGTTCCAGAAATTGTTTCGTCAAGATCTATTAGTAGCAAGTTTGTTTAGGAACTTTCTCTTAGCAGAGAGAATAATGAGGTCTTATGATTGCACTCCAGTCTCTTCTCCAAAGTTGCCTCCAACATATCAAGTATAAACAATTTTAATAAATTATTAGGCTTTTTGTGATCTTTAGTTAGCAACTACTGTATTAAATTCATTTTTACAGCATCCTATGTGGCAAGCTTGGGATTTAGCTTTGGATCTTTGTTTGTCACAACTCCCTGCTATTTTAGAGTCAGAGGATCAGTTTGTACATTCTCCATTTTTTGAAGAGCAGTTGACTGCCTTTCAAGTGTGGCTGAACCTAGGATCTGAACTCCGTAATCCTCCAGAACAATTACCGATTGTTCTACAAGTAAGTAACATTATCCATCTTCACATGTAAAGGGTAATCAGATGAGTAATTATTTGCTATATTTAATTTATTTATTCTTATGATGCTTTAATTAAAATCTTGTAGTCAATTCCTGAAAGAAACTCAACAAAAAAGACGTAAACATTTAATTAGGGCTTTTGCAATAATGGATACTGTAAAGGTCTAACACTGTTGGGGTCTGGGTTTGAATTTCGCATATATATATATGCAATTTTTGATGTACAAAGCAGATTTGAACCAAATTTTCTTGGTTTTCTCTACCCTGTCTATCCTTTCACCATTGCCCCATTATCATTATCACTATCATTTACTCATTAGATCACTGCTCATGGACTTCAGTGACCTCGGCTCTAATTTCCAATTTCTTAATTAATAATTCAAATATGGATATTTTAAAGATCTGGGAAGAGACTCGATTATTAGACTTTGTTATCCAATATTCCACCAGTAATTGTGGAAGATGAATTTTAGCAGAATGCAGGTGCTCTTTATAGACCTGGGAAAGAGAATAATTATTATTAATATCATTAGGTCAATGTAGAGTACATAATGGATGTGCTTGAAGTTTGTAAATTGAGAGAATTACAGAGATCCAATAAAGTCTTTGTTTAACACTTTTAATATTATCACCTTATAAGAAAAAAAATGTAAATAAGAAAAACATTTTCTTGGCATAGAAGTTCTCTTATGCTTTCATTAACTACAGTTCATATTTTCAGATTTTTCTAAACAACTGTTAAAACAATGAGTGTTAGGTTGAAATTGTGTGTACAGGCATTTGAGCAAATTTTTTGACATTCATTTTTGCTGATACAAATTCATGGTGAGGGTTGGTTGATGATTAACATGTAGAAATGATACACATTTGTTTAACAAACATTGGTCAACTTGTCTCATGAAATGGTACTAGAATGCAAGAGAAGAACTCTAAAAGTTTCTTTTTAAGAAATATTCTTTTCTTGCATAATTCTATGTCAAGTTAAATTAAAACTGATGAAAGTAAATAATGCAGAATCTTCAAAATTCATAATTTATGGTCTGTCCTTTTGCATATGTTTTGACGACTTAATTCACTCACACATACATATTCTCATCTATTTTTCAACATGATTGGTATTATTTCTTAAAATTTTCTTTGTATTGACTTGCAAAAACTATCCCTACAAGCACTGAACCAATGACAGTAACACTTTGAGGCATTAACAGGTGGTGATCCAGCCAATGTGGCCCATGGATGAATACGTTTTGTTATGTTGCAGACTTTACAATGCTCAACTGTTTTGAACCTGTCAAAAAAATTATGTTTGTCGGAATGAACCTCTTAACAGAAAAAAATTATAGTGAAACTCCTATATGACGTTTTTGATGGGACCATGAATTCTGAACACTGTATAGAGGAAAACATTATAAAGAGGAAGACTGTGTGTATGGACTTTTGTCTGGGCCGGAAAAAATTGATGTATGGAGAATTATATATGGAAAATTGGTATATGGAGAAACGTTATAAAGAAGTTTCACTGTAATATGCTAATTCAGTAATGCAAAAGTGTTTAGAAATATTATTTTTCTTGTGAGGATTGTAGAGTAACATAAAATGGAATGTGCAATAACTCCCAAGTTAAAGAAATACAATTCTTTAAAATAGTGATCATTTAAAAATTAATAATTATCAAGAAGTAACGTGGTAGGTACGTTTTACAAACCATATCCCAGAATTGTTGATATGGTTGAATGTCAGATAATAGTTGAAAATTTATTTATTAAAAACTTATTAAAATGAACAAATGGATGCTAGAAAAGGAAATTATGTGCCAACTTCATAAAAGATAGGGAATTTGAATAAAAAAGAGAACAAATTTCTGAAACTCAGGAAGAGCTTTGCATTTTTGATAAAAAGCCACCTTCAAATCAATTCATTTGAGCTATTAGATGAGCTTATCAAGAAATGTGAGTTCTCAATCTATTACTGGATTGTTGACTTGTATTCAGTCAAGAACCTGGATCTTACTCATGCCAAGTCATCTTGTTCCCCATATCAACCTTATTAGCTAGAAGTGGATGTGTTCAAAATAAGAATTGATCATGATAGTTCATTCTCATACAACCATTTAGTATATGGTAAAATCTGACATGCTCATTTGCCTAGCTTATTGTGTTATTGCACTTCCTCTTTCCTGCAGAGAAACACTCCCCTCTTGACCATTCAGATCTCTCATTCCCTGGTTTTGAAAAAAATATTTATATAATTACCACTACTATACAGTTTCTGACAACAAAAGTTGCAAATTATGGTGCACATTTTAAAAATTATATCAGGGCTTTAAAATTATCTTAGATAAAGGCTTTTAATTTTCTGTGTCGATGAATTAAATCATGAGAAATTTTAATATCTGTGTGAAAACCTAAATTTTAGAACAAAATAATAAAATTCTTTAGGTTAAATACTTAAGATTTAATTAAGATAAAGGCTGGCAAAAATAAAGATGACAAAATAATCATGATAAAATGTATAAGGAGAAGTGTTGAGAGATGCTTGAAAAAATATGTACCTGTTTCACTTTTTAATACTCTTACTGAAAAATAAATTAAAGAATTCTCTATTAATAATAATAATTTTAATACTCTTACTGTAAAATAAATTATTTTAAAAAAATTGTTTTTTAGGTTTTACTGAGTCAGGTGCATAGATTACGAGCTTTGGAGCTTCTGGGAAGATTTTTGGATCTTGGTCCATGGGCTGTCAATTTGGCTCTGTCTGTGGGCATTTTCCCATATGTTTTAAAGCTGTTGCAAAGTTCTGCAAGAGAATTGCGTCCATTGTTAGTCTTTATATGGGCCAAAATATTGGCAGTTGATAGTGTGAGTATTCTTGAAATTAAGTATGTCACTCATAAAACTTCAAAATTGTATCCAGCAAGAACTAAATTTGACAGGAGAGCTACGAAATTGGATTAGCTTTCAAAATTTCAAGATTTGGATTTCAATTTATTTTGTCATTAGCTTTATATACTGTTGCTTAGAATTATTAACAGAATTTTTATGTTTTAAATTGTTGTTAAATTTAAATTACCCATGTGGCATCCAACATTTTGTCTCAATATTACAAATTATTGGTTTACAACACTTTGTTTTTATAAAATTTACCAAGAAAATATTATTTGTGGAATATAACATTCTGTAAGAAGGTGTATTCTTGGACAATAAATCTAATGATGCCTAAATCTCAATTTCATAAATTATGTGGGTTACATTTTGTATTTTCATGACAATGTGACATGTGTTTATATGTGAATATTTAAACCTTGCTGTGTTGTTTTTCTTGTAGACTTGTCAAGCTGATTTAGTTAGAGATAACGGACATAAGTACTTCTTGTCGGTTTTACAAGACCCTTGTATACAAGTAAGTTTGTGTATTTATTGATTTTGTGTCGTCTTGAGCAGAAAACATAAGAATTTATATAAACTTTTTATTATTATTATTATTATTATTGTTGTTGTTGTTTTGGTTTTTTTAAAGGGAGAACACAGAACTCTCGCAGCCTTTGTTTTAGCCTGTATAGTACATAATCATCCATTAGGACAAGAAGCCGCTATGCAGGGTAGTCTTGTTTCTATATGCCTAGAGCAACTGGGTGACTCTAACCCGTTGCTGCGCCAGTGGCTAGCAGTGTGTTTGGGTCGTCTATGGACCAACTTTGAGAAGGCACGTTGGTGTGGTGTACGGGATATTGCACATGAAAAACTCTATACTCTGCTTCAAGATTCTGTTCCTGAGGCAAGTGTGACAGCAAAAGAAATAAGTTACTTTGATAATAGTTTAAATGATTAAATCATTTTTTTAGATCTGGCCGTTATTTTCTCAATAAATTTTCTTATTTTCTAAAATATCAGTAAAGAAAAGAAATAATTGCAAAAATTGTATTATTTCCAGGTGCGAGCATCTGCGGTTTATGCCTTGGGCACATTCATCAGTTCAGTCACTGAGCGAAGTGAGCATGCAAATAATATTGATCACAGCATAGCAATGACACTCATCAACACAGTTTCAAATGATATGAGCCCTCTAGTAAGAAAAGTAAGTTACACCCATGACATGAAAGTTTTCGGCAGCTGTCTATTTTATGATGATTGGCAATTTATCATAAAAGTTAACAAATTCTGTTTTTTCATGGAAACTATGATATCATCTGATAAATAAGTTATGTTATCTGTATGTATTTTCAATTAGCTGTTAGTATAACTTCATTATTTAATGCATTCCTCAAAACAATGAATAATATTAAATGTGTTGAAATATTTTAGGGAAAGGTAGGAAAAAAAGAAAGAAAAAACTTGACAAGTTGAAAAATTGTATAGTTACAGGACATGTCTTCCTATGAAATTATGCGACATAATATTTGGCATACATTTTATGATGATTACTAAAAACTCTTTATATAAGTAAATATGCTTTTTAGGCTGTATAGAATATATTAAAATTATTACCTTAAAATATGTTAAATTTTTGAGTTCTGTTGAAGAAATGCATATTAGTAATTGAGTAGCACTTTAAGAATGTGTATACATTCATTACTTTATTTACTTTTCATATCAAAATATTATCACCTGCTCCTCCATACTGGGAAAGGTATCACAAAACTTCAAAGTGTGATTGGTTCGAAATGTTTGGGGATTACTAGTAATATGCTACAGTATACTGGAATATCATATAGTTTTAAATTTATTAATGATAGGGACTTTTTTAATTAGTCAATTATTTTTGAAACTTTTATTTGGATTGAAGTTTGTTAATTCTTATAATACTATTAATAAGAATAAAAAATATTATTATTATTATTATTATTATTATTATTTTTATTATTAAGGAACAACTGTAAACAACTTAACATTTTTCAATTTTTCTGAAACAAAGTGGTATGTTGCAAACAAGATGTCAAGAAACTGACAAGTTATTTGTTCTAGTTTTGGCTATTACAGTAAAATATTTTGTTGTTTTTAATGTGAGAACTATGCAAACTATCATTTCTAAATGTTACTTCTTATTGAATACAATTTTAAGAGGTATGTTGATACCTCTTTTTTGTGTTTTGCAGGAATTGATTGTAGCTCTTCAGTGGATGGTGCTCCTGTTTGAGAATTCATTCCTGTCTGTTGCCCTTCAGGAGGAAGGCACTCGCAGTAGAGATAGTCTTGGTTCTCAAGTCCTGATGTTACCAGGTTGGACGGATCTTTTATTTTGACTTTTCATGCTGACTGTGTGTATGTGTGTTTTGTTTGGCTTGCTGATTTTTTGTGCCTTTTTTAATGTCCTAATCAAATATTGCATACTAATAATTAATTTTTGGAGTTGTCTAGTTGAAAAATGTGTGACAATTTCAATTGTAACATTGCCATGAAATTAGAAAGAAAACAAACAAACAATTCTTCACACCAAAGGAGTAAGTACCAATGGATGGAGTTTACACATTTAAATACGGAAAACAACTCTCAAGGCTGTCCATCTTGAAGTAAATTTCTGAATTATTGATAGCTTACAGCAATAAATAGCATTAAATGTGTAGTTTATCTGATGACATGTAACTTATTGTAAGGATCCATGAAGATTTATCTTTTCTTTCTAGTCTGTCCCTATTATTAATTTTAAAAAGACTATTCAACTTGTTAGAGGATATCATAGTTAATAGTTTTTACACAATATTTTCTTTGGTAATTTAGTTACATTTCCTAAAAAATAGCATTCTACTTATTAACACTCCTTAAGCCTTACTAAATCAGTATAAATATAGTCAGTCTGACAATTATTATCCATCTCTTCAAGAATCTAGGTAGAATATTATACAAGATTCAACTGAATATTTCTTCCTGGCATAAAGCCAAACTGTCTCACATACAAAAGTATCAGAATTTTTGTTTTTAATTTTTTATTATGAAGAAAAGAATTACAGTAAATAGCGTTTCCTTTATATCTCAGATTTACCAAAAATACCTATTTATTCTATGAGCTTTTAATACCTCCTCCTAGATGTAAGATATCTACGTTTCTGGAATAGTTCTTGTTGTTTAACCCTCAATTAAAATCAAACCTAGTGCTGTAATTTGTGAGAGAAAATCAAACATTCTTATTGATCAGACCTGTAGAAATTACTTTACAACCACTTAGTTTGTTATGTATGGTGATTATTATCTACTGTGATTTAGTTGGGAGAGATATTTCAGCATTTATGTTGCATTTCTATATTATTAGTTAGTGCAAAGAGTCACTATTTTTTGGTGTGTGTTGGGGGGGTGCGTGTATATCAGTAGTAAAAATCACCATTCTAGAGGGCTTTAAGATTTTAATTTTTTGAGGACACTTGTGACATTTTAAAAACTTTTCTGGAAATTTTTTTGTGGAAATCCTTTACATGTATAGAAGAAAGTGCATTTATAAGTAATATATATTGTCAATTTGTTGAAAACCTCTGACATTCAGAAAATTACAAAAATCTTTATATTTAAAACACTAAGTGTTTTTATTAGTTAGTTTCCAGTCTAATAAGCCATGATCCAATTAGCATTAGAAGGCCAAATGTTTCACCTGCAGCTGCGGTGGACATCTTCAATTGCGGCGGGTTCTCAGGCAAAATGTCAGGGTCAGCGTCTGGCTGGCGACTGAAGTTCAGCTGCTGGCTGGCTGACACATACACTTTGCCCAAGAACCTTCTCCACTGAAGATGTCCACCACAGCTGTGGACAAATTAGCCTTTCCATGCTAATTAGACCATGGCCTATCAGCCTGGAAACTTCAACTAATATTGTCTCTGACCTTGAAAGCCTTCAAATCTAACTAAGCGTTTTTGTTTAGAAAGCAGTTTGAGCTTTGTACTCAACCAAATTTCGTGATTGTTTGCTTTTTAATGGTAGGTAGAAAGCCCAAGATGTTTTATGATGTACTACTATTAACAGGTTTTATAGTATAAACTAAATTTTAAATAAAATCTTAAAATTAATACTAGAATGAATGCTTTAATAACATGTTCAACTTTTTATTCATGGTGAAAACAGAATGTATTGTTCCTGAATATGTAAACTTCCTTCATTTTACTAGTTTTTGAGACAATATTGAATGACAAGAATCAATGTTTTTGGGGTTTTCTATTTTTCATATATAGGGAATATGTAGAACTTTTTTTCACCCACATTACTTGCATATCTAATTTTTGGCATGCATTTTTGCTGCTCGAAATTTTGAGATATGCTTCAACTTTGCAAGCAATTTTTGTGCCATTTTAATTCTTGTATCTTGGATGTTTTCTGTGTAACTTCATTCAATTGCAGATATTTAAATGATCCCCTGAACTTTTTTTAAAATCTGACTTATTGTTGAGTAATTACATTAACAGGAGGAAAATTTTTGGAATGCTGTGCATTTCCACTAGTTCTTAAGTAATATCTGTTCTAACAAAATTAAGTCTTTAAAAATGATTTATGTTCAATGATTTTGAAAATATGAATAGTTTTCACATAAGTTATGCTTAAAGTTAATGCAATTGATCTTTTTTAACCAGCTTTTAATTTTTGCCATTGATAGACCAAGGACAGTGTAAAAAACTGTGTAGGGTTAATTTTCATTGAATTCTCCGAATTAAAAAAATTGCAAATGTTCGAAAAATGCAAGAAAGTATTTGCTGTTGTAGTGCACGGGACGAGCACATGGCACTAGCAATATATTTGATTGTTTGCATAAGAAAACACTATATTTTTTGAAAATATGTTTATATATTAATTCAAAATTACTTGATATATTAAATACCTTTTTAATTCAGTGTGTTTTGTGTTACATTTTTGCAGAGCTATTTAGCAAACATGTGAATCCGTTTGGCAACACTGCCATTTTAATTGGGTTTAAGTAGGTTGATGTTCGCTTCTTTATTCAAAGTTTTGACTTATTTTCACTCATTTTGAGGTGATTTTCTTTCCGTTCAGGTCACAGACATCATGTATGTAGGAATTTTTTTTGTATCAGAAATTTATTATTCAGAAAGTTTTTTTATTCCATTGTCAATAAATGAACAGTATTTTTTGACATTTTAACGAATTTAAGTTCATAACTGCATGCTTAATTTCAACATTTTAATGTCATAAACATCCTGACCTACAATGGTAAATTAATTTCTATTAAACAACTGTTTGTTATTACTGTAATTTTTAAGCCTGCTTTCTGCTTGCTTTTTACACTGAAATTTATCATTTTTATTCATCTTAAAATCATGTACCCAGATATGCATTGTTTTGCTTTGCATATGAAACAAACCTTGGAATTTGATGTTGTCTCTTGCTCAGATTCTTGAGCCTCTTTCATAAAACTTACTAAAAAAATGTCTAATGATGAAATATAATTTTACTGTTGACTCCAGTTAAAGTGAACTCAGATGTAGTGAACTTAAGTCGCTGATCCTGTTACATTACAAATTAGCATAAAAAGATTCGGTTATAGTGAACCTGAGTCTCTGGTATAGTGCGTATAGGAAATAAGTCCTGGAAATTAATAGGATCTCGTGTGTTATTATATGAGTAGAGGGGCCTTTGGAGGGTGGGACATTGTCCCAACAGTGCAAGAGGCATTGAAAGGTGTCAAGATTGCATTACAATACTCAGAAATGAGTACAATGCAGTATCAAGTATGGAGAGAGCAAGGACAATGCAGTATGAAGTCTGGAGGAGGATATAGAGAATTTACAAATGAAACATGTACGAAGAAAACAATTGAAAACAATTGATTTTTTAGGAACAAATAAAGATATTGAAATTTTCAGTTTGTGCTGTCAATGAATTTTGCTGTATCTCTATATTAATAAAATCCATCATAGTGGAGAAATTCTATTTAATTTTGACATCATTGGATATACTGAACCAAATGTGTTAGTCTCCATAAGTTCGCTATAACCAGAGTCTACTGTATTTATTGGCTCCAGGAACATAAGTCATTGCCAGCTGATCCATACTTGCATCGATAGCAGAAAAGAAATTATTTATTAGTTAGTCTCCCTTCACTAACGTAATCTAAAGCATTACGTCATTAATGATGTAATTTGTGATTAGGGTCTCCAAATAAAGTTATCTTTATTTTCATAAGGGGATCTCTTTACTTTTTATCCTTGTTTTTAACTTTTTGAATTAAACATATTTTAGTTATGAGTTGAAGATATTTTTCAATGATTTTTTAAAATGAGGATGAATAATAAAACATTATTATTCTCATCTATGTTATTTTGAAAGGCGCCAATTAATATTTTGAGACATGCTTGTTTTTTTGTTGTTGTTTTTCATGTAAAATTGACTGATGCATAGGTGAGGCCAGTATGTCACCCATGATGGGAATGCGTCGCATCGCATCACGAGACAGGTTGAAAATGCTTGCTCCTGGTACACTGATCAGTGTAGATGGTAGTGTAGCTCCTGCAGCCATGGCAGCTTCTGACATTTTACATTCAAATGTTGACAGAATTAAAAGGGTTTCATCGTCCTCTTCTATATGTAGTCTTGGTAAGTGAGTGCCTTTCTCAACTAACTCTGCTCATTTGTAGTGTGTGGTTTAAAGTATAGCCTGCTCTTTGAAATTTGAGTGAAGTAATTTTTAAAATAGTTAATATGAAACCTGAAGTAGAGCTAAAACAGTGAACCTGCATATAAACAATCCTACTTTTTGTTTTAATGAAACGTGTTCTAAAAACCTTCTTGTATTTACCTGGTGAAGTATTCAATTGCTACACCCTTAACTTGCATGACCTTCAGTTGGTGACAAGATTCAGTTCAGCCCAGACATTGGACCAAGGACCCTGAGGGTGTCAGGGATGTGTACATGTTGATGTGTAATTGAGCATGGATAATTTGTATGCTGGTGAACTTCAAAAAGACTTTAATGTGAACATTTTGGTGTATCTTTGCAGGTCACAGCACTTTAAGCAGCCTGCCTGCTTTAGCATATGGAAGCATATACATGAAGCTTTGGCATGGGTTGACTGCAATGGACACAGATCCTCATCCAGGTGTGAGTCACATGTCTCACACAGTGACTAACTACATCAGAGATCAGGTTGGTTTTGGGTTAAAGATTTATATATCATATCACTAAAATTTTAAAACAGGATATTATGAGAGTGTGTATGATTAGTCATTTAAAAGAACACTTTGCTGAATATTTTAAAAGAAGTTTTTTGTCTTGTTAAAATAATGTATATTTAAGAGTAAAATTAATGTTTTATAAAATATTATCTTTTTCAGACTTCATATGTTTTTGTGGATTCAGACTTTCATAAGGATGTGAATCATGTAAGAATTAATGTCATTATTCCAAATGGGATATAATTTTGTGTACTTCATTTCATTTTATTAAAATGTTAAATATGAGTAGTACTTAATGTTGTACAGCCCATTCAATTTGTTGTTTAAAGCAAACAATTCAGCATGCATGTTGGCTATGGAATGAAACAAAGCATTTTTGTTATTTTATGTTTTTTGTTTCTGTTGGTTATGATTGATTCAATTTTTATTACCAAGCATGTGATTTGAAATATTTGCTTTGTGCAAATACATGGTGTTTTTCTTTCTGGTGTAATTGCTGGGTAGTTCAAATATTTTCTTCTGAAATATCTTCATTTTCAGTGCTTTCTTTTCAAGTCTTATTGTTTTTGTTGGAGCACCAAATCTTATTTTCATCCACAGAATTGGTGAGCATTCATGAAGTCAGATACTGAAATTTTTTTAAATGCAGAAAAATTTCTTGTTTGTGTCTTTACTGTCTACGTCCAAAAAAACAATTGCCTGATTCAATACTTCACTGAATCATTATTTTTTTCAACTATGATGAAAAATAATAGTCCCACTTAAATTTAACCATTAAAATTTGTTTTGATTATATATTGTACAAGCAATAATTATAAGTGTTGAACTTGACTGTAAGTTCTATTTATTTAGTTTGTTGACATTTGATGAGCTGTCATCCAATGACATCCATTTACGAGTATAAAAATCACTACTGTAAGTGTCATCCAAGCTCCAGATTGGATGACACTGTAACAGCTGATTTACATCAGCAGACTCCATGTTTCAATCGAAGTACAGTAAAACACAGCCTTTACATTCCCGCAATTTACATTTCCACAGCATTTACCACAGTTCTTGGTGCCATCAGTTATCGTACATTCATAATATTATATATTCCCCACTTTTACAATAGTATAATTTCAATTTACCCGTAATTTTCAACAGTTTGCTTGCCACAACACCATCTGGAAAGCATTTTGTGTTGCGCACAATGCGCACTGTCACTGCACTTTCCCACCACCTTGCCCTGTTAAAAATGGCCAAAACATAAAGACTATTGAAATGGTGTAATATTATAAAGAGTTATGAAATATTACATGAAGACTAGAAGAAATACAGTGAAAATCATTATTGATCAGCTAGGCCTCTACAAATTTTCATTTCATGACATTACAGAGGTATTTAAAAGGGTAGAAAAAATGACCAATGTGTATTGGTGGAAGAATATAAGGTTTGTGCCACACGAGTATAGCTGTGTGTTTACTTAATACATGTTGACGTGTGTCACCTAACTGTGATGATGCCAGCTTCATCTTTCCTGCACACACATCACTAAACATGTGTGGTAGATTAACCCTGTATTCAATGCAAAACGACATATGAGTGCTCTTAGCGATGGGCATTGTTGCCAACGCTCATCACCTAGCCAGTGTTGCACATTGGAAGCTAGAAATTCACTTTTTCTTGACCTACCTTGTAGCTTTAGCGTCTTGCTTAAGCTATAGGCACAATGTACATCCCCAAGAACGCTTGTGTGCTGTTTCGCATAAGATAGCATTAAACTTCTGCACGCCTTATGTGACGTGTGCAGGCATTGATGAAGCTGATGTCATCAGCGTTAGGTGACATAAGTCAACACGATGCTCACGTGATGCAAGCCTAAAAGAGGTAGCCTCATGATCATTTGTTTATTTTATATCATCCTCCTTCACAATTTCACACTTTCTCATTCTAAAATAATTTTTTCCCATCCTTTAATTCATCAAACATCAAAGAATGGAATTCTCTATACATTTTTAACTGTAAATTCGTTTTATGAACCCTCTTCCTATTATTTCATAAATAAATAAATTTAAAAAATTACTAGTTGGAAATCATTACGAACTGTCAAAAACAAACATTTTATTGAGCTGGGTGAAATGTAAACTTCACATTTTTTTTGTGAATGTGAGGTTATAAGCAAAATTAATTCATGATTTTGAAGAATTTGTTAACTTTATATCCAGTATTTTTAAATTTTTCTGCACCTTCATTTGTCCATGATTCGCTGTTGCCATTGCATACATTATGATTTCAAATTTATTCCGTCCTTTTAGGATATCTCCTTTCTAATGCATATCCTGAAGCATATACCTTCATTCAGCTCACTGAGTCAAGTAATTCAAAAGTACTTCTGTGAGTTCCAAACAGAAGAAATCCCTTCTTGGAAAAAATCATAAATGGAGGCTACTTGTAAATTCGTTTGCTTTGTGTATGAGTGAGGATATCTGAAAGATGATGTGTTATATTTACCTGTGTAAATGCTGAATTGTTTTCCTAAATACCTCATTCAAGAAATTCAGGACTGCCATAAATATGCAGATTTAACATAGTTGTTAATTGTGATCAATGTTTTTAAATTCACTCTTCATACTAAGAAACTTGAAAGCTGAAGTAAAAAAAGGCTTCTTAACTGCTAATAAATTATATGTACCTACAAGGTTCAGAAAGGAACGTAGTCTTCAGCGTTAGAATCGACACTTAATTTTTAGAAATGGAATGTCAGGGGAAAAAATTTGTTATCTGCTTTAGTTAAAAAGTTATTTAGTGTTGAACATTCAATTACTTAATTGTCCTCTTTATTTATTTATTTCCTCTGTAACCACAAAGCATGTCCTGTTCATGCGATGCAGCATTCAAGATTGTGTGCCATTTTATCACCCAAGTTTGACAGTGAATGTTTTGCCACGGTCACTCATGAAACAGATTATCCCAAAAATTATATGCACATTTCTGCTGTTCATAGTTTGTCGAATACTCTGCTTACAAAGGAATGGATGGTGGAGTCAGGTGCAGCCCTATGGATATGACTTTTATCTTGTCAGGAAACTTTGTGGAAATTATCTTAATTTTTTAACACTATTAATGCCTTGTATTTCAAAACGTAAGATTTTAAACGAAAACAGTTTTTATTAGCTGTTTAAACTGTCTTTGGACTGCAACCCTGTATCAAATATTAGGACAATGTGGTATAATAACTAGAAATTCTTCTTAGGACATTATGGTACTACCTGACTATTTTCTGAAACATTTTCTTGGTATCTGCCATGGAATGTCTGGCAATTTAGACCAATATTTTTTAATGTGCTGCTTAAAAGGACCTCCAAGAAATGGCATTAAAGTAAGTGAAATGCAATGTGAAAATGGATGAAAAATTATACCCAAGATTTTGTTGAGGCAGGGCAGTGCAGCAGGGCGAAAATGTGGTGTTACAGAAGCCAATGTTCTTAAGTGGTACCAGAAGAAAGACAGAAACTTCAAATTCAATGAGCAATATTTTCAAGGAGACCTAAACAGACAGATGTCTTGGTGTGGTGGAGAATGTAATTGTATTGAATAGTGCTAAAAGAACTTTGATGAAGATGTAGTGACAAAGTTGATGATGATGAAGAAAATAAAGATAGCACAAGTTAAAAGACTCTCATCAAGATTATTTTCTAGTCAATGAGACAATTTGCTATTGTCTTGCAACTGTGAAAAGGCCATTTTGCAGGACAACGAAATGCACTCTTGAGAGATGAAATAAAACTTGACAAATTCTTCACTGTGCTTGGTGACTAGATCCTCCACCCATTGAAGAAGACTGGATGCTGCACTGCTTATGTTGAAGCATGGGGCCAAAGAGTAAATGCAGTAATAAGAGCCAAGAGAATGACATTGTGCAAGGCCTGGGAGAGCCCCAGATGCTGGAGAGAGCACTTGTTGCTCTTTGGTTTCAAAATGATTTCTTAGTGCTCCAATATGTTGAATATTGAATGTAATTAAAAGGAAAATGTGTATTCCTTACACATTATAAGTTCTTTTTGGATTACCTGGGTATTGTGCAACTGTGCTACCTAAATACGAGCTGTCACTGAAACACAACATACCGAAAGAAAGGAAATATTTTATCTCTTAAACAGTATTATGGTACCCTAGAAGAGCATGGCACACTGAAAGTTCTGGAGAAAGACTACATGATTAAAATATCTTTAAAATAGTGCACGGAAAGTATTAAAATCTAGGCATAGTCAGCAAGTTATCATATATAAGATGAAGAATTATGATAACTAATTACTATAAAAAGTACAAGTTCTCTGGAGGACTAGTTGAAATTACATTTTTGAGAATCAGAAAATCTTGTTATACAATCAAGCTATTAAGGAGGGAGGATGTTTTGAGTTTGTTAAAGTATTTTGAAATATCAGATGATACCACAGAATTCCTAGAAGATAATAGCAAGTGGAAGTAGGTGAGAAGGTCCAAAAGTGTATAAGCATAATTCAGTTTTTTGTTGTGTTATCAATTATGTATTGTCATTAATAAATAACTAATGGCCTGCAACATCAAAAATGCGCTAAACAAAACCACACAAAATAGTTTTCTAAAAATAGCATGCATGCACAACAAATTAAATTCTCTTGTATAACCTGCGACAATTTAAATATTTTTAACTGTCAACACAAATACTGCATGAACATAGTATTGTGAATACATCAGTTCTTTGCATGTAAGAATATCAAAGAAGTTACTGTTCCATAACACAACACCATCATTATCATTATTACTGTTCTAAAACTATTAATGAAAAAGAATTGTATTTTTTTCATTCTAAGGGAAAATAACAAAACTTGTTTCATTTATAACTTCTGCATTTATTGAGTTATGAAAAAATGCTTCAGAACTATTGACATTCATGAAGGCAATTAGAAAAGGAATAGTCAAAATAATTGTAGGTTCCTACGTGTAATTAATTAGTTGTTTTGACATGTAATCCAGTGTTTTCTGCATGAAAGTCACACCAAAGATGACTTGTTTTAGACTCAGATTTAAAACATTAAAGAGTAAATATATAATTCTGCTATTATTTTATTGATGGAAAATAATTTGAAGTAGGTATGACAAATTATATTGTACGTAGTGCTTACTAATATTTCAATGTATTAATAAATAAAAAATAAAAAAACAAACAATAAATTTGGCCAATATGTGGCTGTGGTTATAATGGTTTTCTTTAAAAAGTTAAGGTACTAATTCCTGATAAAAATTTCTCTTCATTTGATGAGTTAGGACAGGAGGCACTTTTATTCAATCAGAGAATAGATATACAATGGAAACTTTTGAAATGGTGGTAAATTCTTCCTGGCATTTTTATAAAACTTCTTTTATTACAATATTGCTATGAATGTTTTATTCTTTGTTATACTGATTTCAACCTCTGAAATGATATTGGGTGTTTGCAAGTAAATGGTGTGCTTATCTTGATTTGTAGGTAAAAGATCCAACAGGAGCAAAAGATCTGGGAGAAGCCAAACTGTCATCCTCTTTATCTTTGCCGCCCTCTCCATCTAGCAGGCCTTTATTTCTTGCGTGAGTTAATAATTGTTCTTAATTATAGATAGATCTATTCTGCAAATATTCACGGATAGTTGGAGAATATTATCATCATCTTATGTAATGATGATAAACAGACAACAATTCTTTTAGAAAAAAGTAGAATCGGTAACATATTGGTAACTATACAAAATTAAGCACATCTCTATTCTATTTTTTGACATAAACACCTAGTCTTCCAACACAATACTCCCATTGCGGTACAATTTTGTAAATACCCTGTGCATAAAAGTCTTTCTTTTGTGAGTAATGCCATCTGTTGTCAGCTGATCTGTGTCTGGCATCAGAAGTGTTTGCTGGACAATAATTTCTTTATTAATCTAAAAAGATGATAGTCAGTGCCAAATCCAGACTGTCGGATGCTGGGGCCAGCCTAACTTTTCAAGTTGTGCATGAATAGGAACAGCCATATAGGGACATGGATTGACATAAAGAAATTGAAAGTTACTCAATCTGTGTAGGAAATGCTCATGACTATGACCTCAAACATGCAAGGAGTTGTATTGGTGGAATTTCTTGAGTGTGAGGCCTGTTTGAAAGTTGGTATCAAATGCAAAACATTGGTGAGGTTGAATTGTGCTTTGTGAAAAAATGACCTATTGCTGCAAATTTCAATCTCCCTCATGACAATGTACATTACCATGTCACTGCTCCTGTTTGTGTACAACTTGAAAAGTTTGGGTGGGTATTGCTCGAAAATTCGTTGTATAATGCAGATCTGACACCATCTAATTATCATATTTTTTGAGCTGTGTGAAGAATTTCTTTTTGCTAGTGAGCATTTCACTTCTGATACCAAACTCAAATTGGCTGTTCGCAGATGGCTCTACTCACAAAATATAAAAAAAATTTGCAGTATATGCACCAATATGCACAAATATTTGTAAATTTGTGCCACATTGGGAGAAGTGTTTTGCAAGACGTGATGACTATGTTGCAAACTAATGTAGAAATGTGCCTTAATTTTTGTAAATAAGTTTTTGTTTAATTGTTATTTTTACTTTCTTCTAAATCAATTAGTGTGTGTAACTTGATTGATCTGTCTGTGTATTAGATAGTGATAATGTAATGTAATTTATATTACTTCTATTTTTTCTCTAAACATTGTATATGGGGATGGAAATTTCATGTATCCAAGTTACACTTACCTCTGACTTAGGCAATTTCACATTCACTGTGTTTTGTTATTTGTCTTGTAAATAAAATCTTCATTATGACAGAATGTGATCTGTTGAACACCAGTGCATGAAGTATTGCCTAACAACCAAGGGCAAATGTTACATGTTTAACTTCTTTGTATGAAATTTCAGACCATGTCTTACTAGGCAAAAAGTTTTCTTTTTCATTTCCTCTACATGCCCCAGAAGTGCCCTTTTATTCTGAGACACTTTCAAAAAACAAAAGTGTTGAAGATAAGCAAAAATATGTAATCGAAGTTGCTTGAAAAATGAACCTCTAAAAGAAATACATACTTAGGAAGTGCTAAATGACCCATAACAACTGGTGTCAATGGATTTTGCCGGGCCTGTATTTGCAGAGGAGTATTGAGTTATACAATTTAATGTGGAATATTGGATTTAGAAGTTGAACTGGTGTGATGTCAGGGGTAGGGATGTACAGCACAAGGAAACAGATATAAGTGGACTATATACAATTTATTTTACAGAACTAATTACAATATTTACATTCCTCACTCTAAGGCATTTGTTGGAGCTAACTAACTTTAGGCCACCTCTATACACAGACCTTGTAACTGCACACACTAGCCAACTAGGCCGACTCGTAACTCGGCATCAGACATGCCTTGGCAGATATATGATCTGCCCTGCAGTGGTAGAGAGCCACTCAACTGTGCCCGAACACATCGGAACACCTTCTCGTGCATACAGCACTCCGCGTCAGCCTGGGCAGACAAAGTATTTCCTGACCAGCGGTGAGGAAACCAAATTTATTACTCAACACAAGGCATGGTGATGCGGCCTTATAAAGGGCCGAATCACGTGACCTTGTACGTCATCTCCCTCCTACAAGCTGCTCCAAGTCGTGGTCTAACCTCCGCTGTCTTTTGCACAATGCACTTTGGAGCCAGCCACCTCCCCTCTTAGCAGTCCCCTAGTCTGGTATGGCACTCTTTTATCAGGTGGCTATTTTTAGTTGCCCTCATGCCTCTACCTTGCAAGCTCTCTCTCAGCACAGGAGCTATATTGGATGTATCTCTACAAGATATTGCAATGTTCACGTTTGTCCGCATTCTTCTGATGTTGGGTGGAGTTTTAGCCGTCACTATGCAATATGAAATATTTAGATGATAGGCACGTTATAGTTAAACATTTAGAAAAATGATTTGTAACTCATTGCTTTGTAATTGGTCATCAGAAAAGGGTTTAAGAACTTGCTTTCAGCAAATCAAAATGTTCTGACAATTTTAATGCATGAAACAAGCTGAACCCCTGCATTAATTTTACATATTGACCAGATGAAGGACACTGAATTACCAAAATATTTTACAACATATTATTCCTTCCGTGTTAAAAAAAATATTTAAGGTTTAAATTAAAATATTTTAGGCTCGTGATAACTAAGATAGCTTTCCCAAAATAATTGTATGTTCTAGTTGTTTTATGTTCTCTCATTCATGTCCAAGATTCCTGTGAAGTTTTCAGTCATGCCGACTACAGTCTGTCCTAATGCCTACCATATTTTTCTAAAATAACTCAATACTTTGGCAGGAAATGAGTTCTCTCCAAAAGAAATAATATACATGATGATTAAATCTTGCTCTCTGGGTAATATTTAAACTAAAGTATTTGGCTGTCCTATTTATGCAATTTAAATGTTTGATTAATACACTCTTTTTGTAATTTTTATTCAGTCTTTAGCCCATATGTTACCTACAGGTTTTTCCTTAAAAATCTGAATAATGTACAAATCATCAATCTGTACAAATTATTTAAAGCTCTGATAAATAAGGTAGTTTTTAAAATTTTGCTATGATATGCAATGGTGTGTTTCAGAGGTGAGAGCCCACCAACTACTGGTTCAAATATGGAATTGCATCGTTTGACCACATCGCGCTCCGCTCACATTACCAGCCGAACTCGTAAAATGGTGCCTAATACTGTAAGTATCATAAATAAAATCCTAGTACCGGTAAACCAAACTTGCTTCTTGTTTAACAAGACACAACTAAATTGTATATTGCGTTTCAGATATCAGAAGAATCTGATGAAACCGCAGGTTCTCGTAAACCTTTGGTTTCAACACAGTTTGTTGAATGGAGTTGTAAATATTTTGCTCAATCTGTGATGAAGAATCAGAATGGAAGTGACAGTGAAAGTAATCTCCACTGTGAGAGGGAGTGGAGGTAATTAATTTTTCTTTCTTAAGAGTGTGCTTTGAAAGTTATAATGGTTAATTGCTGAAGTGTTAATTGACTTCTCTGTTCAATATATCTGATTATAGTAATAAGTGTTTTGTTGTTATTTTGCTTAGATACTTCCGGAATAGACATGTACGAGTCGACTCAAAAGAGGAGCAAAGGAAAATGGCAACTGGTCGATTAGAACATCAAATATTTAATTCACGTAGTCCAAGTCCACCCTCGGTTATTCTTTTTCACCCTTATGATCCTCATTTTGCTGTTGCCTGTAAAGATTCGTTTGGGTATGTATGCTCGTGATGATGTTGATTTTAAATATTAATGAATGGCAACTGTTGTGAGAACAGTGCACTATATTTGTTGGTTGGATTTGATTACTTTCTGATATACTTGTGATATACACTTGATTATTTGTTTCAGTAATCAGTTGCATAATATGTATGTAAAGGGAGTCATAAAGCTCTATCTATCTCCTTTTAATTTGACTTTACATTTCACCCTTTATCTAAGGAACTATTGTACACAGTGCTGTATAATTTTAAGAAAAGCTTTGTGAACTTGTTTTAATTAATTGCAAGCAGATTTATATATTTTGAACAATTTTTGTAATTTTCAGAAAATATATAGTAAAATTCAAAATTTTTAAACTATTTTTTCATTCCATTTATACAGAAAAACAAAATAAGAAATACATTTTACTGATTTATCTATATTCTTTACTACTATTTTTACATCCCCCCAAAAATTGAAAATTGTTTCTTGAAATAATGGGGCAAATGTATTATATCATTTTTCAGAAATTGGGAGTAAAATTAAATCTAGGAAACTTTGTGAATCCGTTATGATAACAAGTAAAAAAATACATCAGGAATAATTTGTCAGGAAAATGTCATAGGAGATAAAACTTATCAGTGTGGGCAGCATTGGAAAGTGAATGTTCCTCTATCATTCAGTCTGAACCTGAGTCTTTTGAGTAGTATCATTAAAAAAATACAGTTTAAATTTGATATTAGTGATATAGGATTTCAAATTTCTATTATAGACAATCAGATTTGGTGGAAAACAGTCAAATAAAATAAAGATAATAATTGATAAACAATACTTGGTTTATTTTTTCACATTTTCTTCTCAGTACTTTGGAGATTAAATGCATCTCCACCCTCAGGTACATATAGAAGCTAAAAATATACGATCAAAATGCGTAAATATTTCTACAGTACATTATACAGCAGTGTAAAAAGAAGAAAAACACATGTGCAAACAGAAGTCAACTGCACACTGTTTACCAAGTGTAACCTTTAACAATGGGTAACACTGATCTGTGTAGGGTAGTGACATGATATGAAATGATGGCATGATAATGAAAGGTGAGATTCCAACTATCCTTTTGTCTTCTGTTTGCACATGTGTTTTTCTTTGTTTTAAATAGCTGTATATATAATATGTAATATACTGTAGAAACATTTACGCATTTTAATTTTATATTTTTAGCTCCTATATGTACCTGAGGATGGAGATGCATTTCATATCTGAAACTTTGTGAAGAAAGATCTAAAAAATAAACTGAGTGTTTTTTATCAATTTATCTTTTTTATCTTTATTTTATGTTACTGTTTTCCAACATATCTGATGGTCTAAAATGGAAATTGGGGATCTATTATTAATAAAAGGAATGCCAGATAAGCATAATTGAAGTTATAATGAAACTAAATTAGAGATGCTATGACTACTATATTGACATATGCAGGTGAAGGGAAAAATGGAAAAATACATTAAATTCAGAAACTCTTAATATTGAGAAAATATTAAAAGCCAAAAAAGTTTAAAATGCAAATTTTTGCATAATGATTCCCTTTAAATATAAATTTATTTAAATATTAATGAAACTAACTTGTCTTGTGAGTAAGTAATAATACAATGTTGGCAAATACCGACACTGACTTACTTGTGCACTTGTCAAACAAAAGTATGTCAGATACAATTCTTTCATTATTTGATTGCTAACAAACTGCAATCTATCCCTAAATTGCAATTGAATTCACTTAGGTTGTACAATCCAAGAATGGTCCCCCTTGTTTATTCTGAAAGTGAGTCAGGTGTACAGGTTTCAAACTTGCCCCATTTAGATATAATGATTGAAATTTTAATTCGTATATGGTTTGAATGTTTTAATAATGCGAGCATGCATTCTTATGTGTGTAGAAGAAATTCAGGAAACACTCTACAAAGGTTATTCAAAAAGGAACAGCAAATTCGCAATATTACAGAATTTGAACACCCACGCATTTAAAACTCCCGCAAAGGGGATGTACATGCTTGTGGAATGTGTTGGCATACGTCAACAAATGGCATGACATAAGCAAGGACATTTGAAACTAAATGGTAGTGCATTGGCTCTGTGCACTGAGCAATGAGCAATAATATGAAGTTATGTGGTCAGAGAGATTCCAGAAATTCATTATAATTATAGCTGCTTTAGTGAAAGAAAAAGTACTAGTGGGACATGTCTTTAGAATTTGATAAATAAGAGTTATTGTCGAGCAACACTCTGGTTATCTCAGCAGTCTCCTCTCAACCCTGTGCCAGTAAGATCCTTTTCACTTTCTTCTGGAAAACTACTATTAGGAAAGGGTGAAAACATAAATAGTGCCTGGTTCAGTGCATTGTTGAGGAAGAAGTTGAAACCAGCAAAATGAAACCTTCACAGAGGAATTCTGTCAAGAGGCAGTCTTTTCCTTCACCACTCATTTTCACACTGAAGCTCCTACACTTAAAATCATTCAAAGACTGAAATTTCAAATCCTAAAATATCCTCAATACAATGTAGGTCTTGCATCTTTGGATTATTTTGTGTTTTGATCTATGAAGAACACTTTGAGAAAATGGTGATTTGAGAGTGATGACCTCGCAAAGAAAGTGATGCATTCTTGTTTGAAGGCAGTTAAAAAAAACATTTATTTCTTTGTGAATAAAAATGTTGCAGCAAAGGTGTGAAAAGTGTGTTAAGAAAAAACGAGATTTTGACAAAAAGTTAGCTTCCTCTTGCATTCATTGTTGAAATACACATCTCAAAAATATTTGATGTGTTGATACTTTTTGGATTGTCCTCATAGTATTATCATTACAGTACATATCAATTAGTAGACTGACTAGTTGTCCTCCTTTTGAAAAGACAGTCCTTCTCCTCTGTAGCTCATCCTCCCGAAATATGAAGGTAAAATCAAATGTCTCCCTTTGTAGATTGTAAATTTAACATATTCCACTTTTCCATAATATCTAGATCTGTGGTTTCAAAATTTTGAACATGTTTATGAGAAAAAACCCTGAAATTCACTATTGTGACTAAGTGTAATTGCCAACAAATTTGGGATCTTAAATTTTTCGAAGTGTTCCCCTTATCCATTAAGGAAGTATCACCTGGAAAGTACCATAAACATGTAATATTTTTGTGAGCAGTCTGAATACATTATGTCATAAAATATCACACTACTAATTTTGTGTAGTACATCTATTTATATTTTAATTTCATAGCCATTCTGTAGTTCTACGTTTATTTTAAGTAATACTCAAGTGGTAACTGGTCCTTCCTTGATAAAAAAATCTGGTCTGTTTACAGTTAGACAAATATAAATCAATTTGAAGACATGTTTTGTTTTAAAATGTAAGATTTTCCTGCATTTTTAATGTAGGAAAATCATGATACAAATGCTTTAGATAATCATACATGTACATATTATTTTCCTTTCCTTTGTGTTTTCAGAATTTGGGATTGGTATAGTGGAACAAAGATGAGTTACTGTAGTAATCGTGCATCCAAAGGATCTCGAATTACCTCTCTGGAATTTGTAAATGGCCATGACATGTCACTCTTGCTTGTGGCTTCAGATGATGGATCAGTGAGATTGTGGAACAATTATAGTCTTGTAATGGGAAAAGAACCTCTTCTGGTGACTGCTTGGCAAGCACTGTCTGATGTTCAACATTTAGGACGCTCTGCAAATGGTGATTCTAAATAATTTTGCTTTTTATTGTGTATAGTTTCTAACTTAATTATTAGATCAGATTAGGAAAAAATAAATGTTTCCAAGTGACTCCATGTTTGGAAAGGAAATTAAAACTTTAGAGTGAGTTAGGTAGCAAACTTATTGGTATTCACTAGTACAATGATCTGTATAGATTCTCCAGAGGAGTACTAATTTTCTGTAAGATATCTGCTTCATTTCTGTGTGTGTGTTTTCAAGATTGGTTTCGTCATGTGACCAATTATTTTGACTCACATTGTGCAAAATTAATGGTCAGTGAGTGAATTTTGAAATGATTCACAATCATTCTACAATTGTCAAATTTATGTGGGGCTGTAGTACTCATTACTTTGTCTTTCCTTAAATTAGAGAAAGCTCACAAGAAAACAATTTATTTGTTTTGTTGAAATGAAAGAGGAGTTCAGTTTGAAAATTCCTTTTTGAGAAATATTAATTACATGCTTTGATTAAAAGTGAGCTAGCCTGGGATCTTTGAGATTCAGCCATTGCAGCCTGTCCATTTATATCCAATTATGTTTGTTTCATGACTTAATTCACATACATATATTTCTCTTCTGCTTTGTGACTTGATTTGTACCTATACTTACAATCTGTTTTTGAGTAACGATATTGGAAGTAAATCACTCATGAAAACTAACCCTAACCTAACTGCACCTAAAGAACTGATACTTTGACTTTATCAGCTGGACCTCCAGAAATCTGATCTTTTTATATTCAGAAATAGCTCTGTGCATATTAGTCATTCTTTTTCTGATTTTATAAAAGAATTTTGCTAATTTCTTTTTATCAGAGGACAGTTGGGTTGAGCAAGAAGAGAAAAATTGTTCCTTCCTCCAATCTTTTGTAATGTAATACTTCAATTTTCTCTGCCCCTGTTTTGTACACGAGTCCTGAATTCCTCTGAAAAATAATTTAATGAAACAATCTTGCTGGAACAAATGAGTGAACTATTTTTTCTTGTAGCAGGTTCTGGCTTACTGATGTCTTGGGAACAGAATGCCCAGCAACTTGTTGTGACTGGTGATGCCAGAATTATTAGAATATGGGATGCTGAGAGTGAGTTGAAAGTGGTAGACATTCCTACTGGAGCTGACAACTGTGTAACGTCCATTTCCACTGATTTGTCTGGTAAGAAAAAGTATATTTTAATTTTCTTGAATTCCTTGAGTTCTGAATTACAGTGAAGATGGAACCGAAGTTCCTCTTTGTTTTTGAGTTGTGAATGAAGTTAATCCTTATTTTCAAATGAGGTAACTTGTAGTTGACTTCAGAAATTTAAAATTGTAAACTGTAGAGATAGTATGCTAAATATGATGTGCTCCCCTTGCTATTATGCTAAGTTGTGAATTACTTTTCCCTCCCTACTCATTGGACAGAGTTCATAAGTTTGTTTGTGATACGTAATCCACCTGCCTCTGAAACTATTTGTTGTTTTTGTTACATTGATGGGACTCCAAATATTTGCCTAAAAGTGTCTTATTTTGTGGTTTTTAGAATCAAATCTACTAGTGGCTGGTTGTGGGGATGGATCAATAAGATTATTTGATCGTAGACTTCCTCCGCATGAAGCTCGTATAATGACGTGGAGGGAACATGCTTCATGGGTAGTAGGTGTACATCTCCGTTTTCCAACAACCGGGGCAAGAAGAGTGATAAGTGGATGGTAAATTTTGTATTTTCTTTTTAACTTTAAAAAAAAAATATTGTGATTTGTTTCCTCACTAATATTTACTCTTTCAAAAATACCTTGCTAATTAATTTCAAAATGTAACTTGAGCAAAGTGTTTGATGTTTGTTTTTACATAAACACATGGACACACACATACGCATGCTTGTACACACTCACATGCATACACACTAACAAACACATGCATACACATATACTCTTTAGCAGCATCCAGAAATTAGTACATTAAGTGAATCGATGTACTGAGGATATTTCTCAGTATTGCTTCAAAAAGAAAACTGTTTTCGAATGTAAATTGAGGAAAACACAAATATGTCCATTAATGAAATTGGGGTGTGTATTACAAAAGCACTGTATCTCATATGGCCCTGCAATCATATCTGACCTGCCAGCTGTCAGAATTGCTTTGCGCTCGGTGACAAAAAATGAGATAAATAACCTGTCTAAATAACAAATTCTACAACAGCACTTTCAGTCTTGGATATGTGTACAATATTTCAGTGACAGGTAGGGTGTAATAAATTTGGACAATTACAAAAAACATTTTCTACAAGAATCTATGCTTCTAGTGGCAGAATTATGTGGGGAGAGAAGGGATAAAAAATTCACCTGGTCAGCATGCATATTTTTTTAATCATTACGTTATGGACAGTTTTTGTGATATTCATTACAAATTTATTTAATTGTATTTATAATGTTAATTTTATTGTTAATGGGAAGCATTTCGCTGCTTTATTTGTGCCCATTTGTTGTTTCTTATTTCAGCAAGTGTATTTGATTTCAGTGTTGGAGGAGATGTGCGATTTTTTGATATTCGTAGAAATACCTCTGTCTCCACTTGCCAGACAGCTCAGGGTATGACAGCCATGGCAGTCCATAAGGAGGCAGATGCTTTTGCATGGTAAGTATTTTTAAACAAAAAAATACATCAGAAAATTAAAATCAAATCTTTTTGTTAACTGATACTTTTGTAACACTCTCAAAATATGCAAGTGTAAGATCACCAAAAATCTATTCGTAACGTTCAAGTTTTTTAAATTAATTGATTACTTTACAGTGTTTAAATTTCTCCTGTCCGATTTTATTTACCACATATGACATGTTTTACAAAGAGGAAACCAATCAGGAAAGAGAGATCCGATCATTAAATGCTGAGATTTACTTCTGATTCACTGCTGCTCTACTAATAAATTCTGAGAATCAGTTTCCAACATTTCTGGGAAGTGTGCTGAAGGGGACGAAACAAACTACCATAACACCAAATGTTTGATGACTGTGAAATAAATATTTGCACAGGTGTGCTACAATGTAGATATTCATTTTGCTTTAAAGATTTCGTATTTAAATTTCTGTGTGGTTGAGAAACCTAAAAGTATGTATGCATTACTTAGTATAGTAAATATAATCATGGTGGGAGTTTATAAAAAGAAACTTGATCTTGGCATGAAACAAAATTGTAACTTGGAATACCAAAGTAAAGCAGTCCATGATGTGCAGGCAAGTGTTTGTAGTACACGGAAGGTATCTGAGAAGTATGCGAGCCATATACAATGCTAAATGTTCAAAAATAAATATAAATTCATAGTAGGTAGACAATCTGCACAATCATTAAGAAACGCAAACTACTGAATTCAGTGTGCAAAACGCGGGGTTCCATTGAGATATCTTGATATGTCCATCAATATTCAAGAATATTGTAATTGTTCTGTTAAAAACAAAAAGTCGTTCAGAGGCTTATCACCCCTGGATGGAACTCCTTTTTCCATAAACAGTATACAAGCCTAAACATAATTATCTCTCATGGACTGAAAGAGATGTGGAAGGTGCCTGGTGCAATCAAAATTCAAGTGGATGGTGTGACTATGGTATGTCTGAAGATTGGTTCTTCTCCTTCCATGAACAAAGAAACTGGAAAGCAAAAAAGTTATTACAGGAAATAATTAGTCTAAACATAATTACCCTTTCTTAGAAAAACAATATTCAGTTTATTTGTCTACAACCAAAATCAACACATTTGTTACAACCCTTTGATGTGGCATATACAGACCACTTTAAGCTTTAAAGCCGTTTTTATTTTATGTATTTTTGCCAAAAACAGAAAAAACTGAATGTGATTTACCGGGGAAAAGTACAATCTGTGCACATTTTCTTGAGATCCAGAAACTCTTCCTCACCCTGTAACCGTAAATGGTTGACTAATGAATAAAAGTACCAATAATGCAAAGGGAGCTACAATTGAAAACAAGGTATTTATGCTCCTGAGTTATAGAAAATTTATTTGCTTCAGTATATAAGCTACAGATTTGATATTTTATTATTGCTAACAAATTAGTACTCCTTACCACCCAGCTCTGCTCCTACCACAACTACCAACAGGAGGGCTCAACAGAATATGCTTATAGTGAACCTGACATGAAAACGGTGTAGGTTCGACTTGTTGAAAAATATGGAGAAAAAGTTATGTTCACAAGCAACAAGACAAAAAAAACTGGTATGTGTTTCAAGAATACAGAAGAGAAGATATTGACTAACATATGGTATCAGCTTTGAATTGTTCAAGCAGTAACAGTTTCTTCAGACTCTGACTAAGAACCTTAATCTTGTTGACACAATTAAAGTATTCAAGAACTCTAACATGACTGAAGATGGTTGCTGATTCTGGTGAACATTTCCTTGTTTCATTATTCGGCTACAGTGGGAAGAAAAAATTAACTGAGATATGTTTTTTTACATCAAATCTGCCTTCAAGTACAAGCCAAACATTGCTGCACTGCCGCCATCTGCAGCTGCAGCACAACACTCTTTGAGTCTACCATCAGATGCAGCAATAGCCAGGCTTCGATAAAAAAAAAATTCTGAAGAGTGTAGATAAAAAAGAAATAAACATGGAAATAAAATTATATTGTTTCCCAGCCTGTGACAACAATGTTACCACTCACATACTCATCTTTATTGAAAACTTATTTCATGCAAATGCACCATAAGCTCCCAGAAAAATTGTAGCTGAAAGAAGGCAGGGTATAAATGGTCTAACTTGTGCCTCAATTGCGAGAAAAGTTCTGATAATATGAGAGTGGTTTCTGAAGTAGACCTAGAGGACGATCTAAAATTGGAGAATGAGATGAAACCAGATTTCCCTACTTATGGAACTGAAGAAGCACAGGAAGTGGAGCAGGACATTCCACAAGTATTAGTTAAAACCAGTCGTTAAGAAATAATACAATATACAATGCCAAGTCCTAAAACGTAGGCAATTGTATCATCTTCCATTTGATTGTATATCAATATTTATGAAAAAAGGCATAGTTTTTGTGTTACATTGAGATAAAATGGGATGAATCCTGTTTTTAGAATTTTCTTCATAAAAACACCAAAATTCACATTGCTCTAGCAGCTAAATGGCAGGTGGGAGAAGAAACCCTTAAGACATAAAATGTAAGCAATTTTATCTTCTTTATTTCATAAGACCATTACTTACGAAAAGTGGAGAGTTTTCACATTATTTTGAAAAAACTGAAAAGTGCCAGATTTTTAACAAGTTTATTGCAAAAGAAAAATGTTTTTCTGGGCTAAATTTTTGTTGGCAAACCTGATATTCATGTTCAGTGACATCAAAAACATATAATATAATCAAAAACTACACCAAAACTCAAATACCAAATATCAAAACTACACCAAAACTTTATGCAATTTGCAATTAGTTAGCATAATTTGACTGGACTAGAAATTCTTTCATTATTGAAGTAAGTACTTGAAAAGATTGATGTTGCTTCTTCATATATTATTAGTGGTTTTCAGAAAACTAGGGCAGTTACATTTAATCCTTAGAAAGTCCTTTCTTAGATTAATGCATTTACAATTGAAGAAAACTGGAAGATGTAAAATATGGACAAAAACATTTAATTTCCCTCAGAAAGCACATGTTGGAGAGACCCTGTGCTCCTCTGCTCAGAGAGGGGAGGAAAACTCTTAGTCGTCCTTCCAGGTAGAGGAATTGTAGTTGGAGATTTAGGGCTATGTGTGAAGATGAACCTGAAGAAGTTTCTTCAGTAGGTAGAGAAGAGAGTGAAATACAAAAGCTAAAAGTGTAAAAGCAAATTCTTCAGTCAGAGATGATGAATCTTAAAATAGAAATAAATTGCTAGGAAATGAAAATGTTTGTTAAAATCATGAGGGTGGCACAACAGTTTAAGATGGGTGATTTTGTGTTGGTTTGATTTCCAACAAGCAAACAAAAAACTTTTTGTCGAGTTGAAAAATGTTTATATAAGACACTTTATTAATTTCATGAGAATTTAATTCAAAAACCCGTTATTTTCAATTTCCAGAAAATTCAGATATTTAACAATTTAGAAAGGCAGTTGTTCTTGAATAGTAAAAGGACTTTGTAACAGGAGGGGGTGACATATTTTTACTTGTTTAAAAGATATTAATGTTGAATAAAGACCTTTTTTTTAATAATCGTTAGTCCTTTTTATTTGCTTTCATGTGTGTTTTGTCTTTTCCCATCTACTTGTAATGAACTCTGCTTGTAAGTGTGAATTATTCTCCAGTAGCAGTATTATTTTTGTTATGAGAGCATAGCCAACTAATGACTATATTAATGCTTATAGCTATATTATTATTATTATTATTATTATTATTATTATTATTATTATTATTATTATTATTATTACACATTGGGCCACTTGAGTCGTTCCACTATCACTTGTTACTGTTCGTGGTTGTCGCACTGTCGAAAGTTTTCACCTTGAGGTGAGGAAAATCTGGTGTTACATCTGAATTTATTTCAGAAAGGTGATAATAGAGATAGAGGATGATGATGATAGGGGGTGAAAGGACGAACACAATACAACCATGCCCGAGGCGGGACTCAAACCCGCGATCTTTCGGTACGAGATCGCCACGGCACTACTGCCTTAGCGATCTCGGCCTTCGGATCGGCCATATCTATATTAATGAAAATGATATATAAAAATTCAAATTATGATAGGTTTAACCATAGATGGGTATAAAAAAAATACAGAATAAGTTCACCCCAGTTTAAAGTACCTCTTTGTTCTGTGGCATGTTCCTAGAAAACAGAACATAGAGCATTAAGATAAATACACTTAAATTTTTAGACCTAATTTTGTATTGCTATTGTTATAAATTTTAACCAAGGCTTGATTATTTCAGTGGCTCCATTAACCAGTTTATAAGTGCATACAACATGGAAGGAAACCTCATTAACACCATCAAATATCATGAAGGTTTTATGGGGCCACGCATTGGCCCTGTACGGTGCTTGGCGTTCCATCCTCATAGGGTGTGTCTAGCTGCAGGTAGTATCGACAACTCTATTAGTGTGTATTCTATTGATCCAAAGAGATGACCTGGTTCAGACTTGGTGTCTTATAGTATTGCCTTTTAGAATAAAAAGCCTTATATATAATCTTAATTTACATACGGTTATCATATAGTTCACATTATATAAATTTATGACCCTCAATTTCTTCTCTGTGAATTTGAAGAAATAATTTGCAGTGACTTAAAAGCATAATTTTAGAATTTTTGTTTTGTTTTCTGTTGTTAGAAGAATTTTTAAAGAATTTACTTATGTTAGTAGGAAATAATCCATACAAAGACGAGAATTCTCAGTATGGTTGAGGTAGTTCTTTTGTATACATGATTCTTTCTGGTTGTGTTATTTCATTTCTCTTCTTAAATGCTGTATTTCTTTATTTATCTCATCGCTTATGGATAGAAACTGTAAGATACACTATCCACAGCAACACTTGGTCATTTATGTTTTAATGTTCACATTCTGCCCTAACGGTAAATTTTCATTTAAATTCAAGGTGATCTTTCATGTACTTAGAAGAAATTGATTGAATGAGAGCGACTTCATGAATTTAAATTGTATCTTTAAACATTTAATTAGCTTGTTAATATTATTTGCTGCATTCCATATATTGCCAAGCAATTCTTGCCTTGGTTTTGAACTAACTTGTAGATGGTTCTACAACAGCTCAGAAATAGGCACAATGCTTTTAAAATCATTGCCAATTATGCATTGCCTTTTTGTAGTGTATGTATTTTATAATTCTTTCATAATTTACTGCCAAATACATACACTACACCAAGGAAATTTATTATAAAGATTATTTGTGATGGGAGTTAAAATATTGCTGAAGGCAGACAGAAAATATAATGGTGATGGAACATAGTTTTTCACAAACCAAAAAAATATTTTTGCCATTGGTATAAATGAATCTGAGGGCTTGCAGTAACAAACATTGTCATGTTCTCTAGTTCATACTTTAAAAAAAAAAACAGATTTTTTAAAACATGACCCAAGATATTGATTATTTCTCAGTGGATTTTAATCTTTGAGGACGGCAGCTTGATTATATTATAGTTTTGTTATCTAAATGGGGTCACTCCATGCCCTGTATTATTTGCACATACTTTTCATTCAGTTAATAGTAAGCGACATATCATGTTCTTTAAACCAAGAATTTTTGTATTATATGCTGTGTGTTGTAATATACTGTAATATGAGTTTATCAAATTATTCAGTGTATTGATTATCATCTCAAAATATGATACACCTATTCAGATAGTTATATCAATTGTGATTTGTAATAATTTATTTCAGTATTGTTTATTTGAAATCTCTTCATTTACCAACAATTCTTTATGCGATATTCTTAAGTCAACTTTACCCAACAATAAATTTCATGTGGTTTTGTTTTTGCCTTCAGAAATTTGCAGCATAACAATAATAACCATTCGCTTTTTATTTTTAAAAGTAAGAAAATGTTAATAAAGATGTGCTACCATGTTTTTATTGTATCTCTTCACCGGTGGGTGCAATTTATGCATTCTGTATCTTGAGTGTGTATTCTTAAAGGTGTTCTAGGGTACTATTGCTTTGAAGTGTTCAGGAATATCCAATTTATAGATTCATATTTTGTGAAATAGGCCTCTGGATTTGTTGCCCACAACTGAAAATCTTGTTCTGACATTGAACTACTAACTGCCAACACAAATAATCTTGTGTAGTGACATCAAGAAATACCATGATAGTTAGAGACTTTGATAAAGACTTTTTCATTGGAATTGCAGCAGATGAAAATGTTTTGTAGCTCATGGCTCTTCAATATTATTTATCAATTAGAACTTGTGTGCGTTTGCATTACAGCAAATAATTGTTCTTATGCATTTGTTTATATGGTCTTGATTAATACATCTATTTATGTAATACTTACCTTTTGGGAAGTACAATATATGCTGGTATGCCATTCTGTTGATCTTTTTACTTACATGTGGTTGTTACATTGTCACTGGTGATACCAAAAATATAGAACATTAAGGAATTATTTTTGTAAAGTACTTCAAATCATGGTGAACTTACATATATGTATATAATGTGCAAAAATGGTTATGTTGCTCTGCTATAATTCTCAGTGATTGTATTTGCCTTAAAAACACTACAAGCATTTACAAGCTATCGTGTGTGGGGTGATGTATGAGTATATGTGTGTCTTTCTTTTCTGTTATTTAGAATTCAAAAGACTTAAATGATCTATTTCTCAACTGCACAAGAACAGAACATGTACTTAGGATGTTTATATTTGAAAAAGATTCATTTTAGTGTATCTATAATTACATAGATACAATTTGATTGAAAATTTTCATAGAATACTTCATCTAGTGTTCACTACTGAAGGTGATAAGTATTATTTTTTACTACCATAAATGATTTGAATGTGAAAAGGTTTTGTCAATCATATAGACATCCAAAGTTCATATATCTATAACACTTCATTAATTTTTTTATTGGAAAGCTTTCTTGATTCATGTTTTTCTTGTAAAAATGTTCACATTGAATAATTAATTTGAACAGGCAGCATGAACATCAGTAATAAGGTAATTAACTGTTTCCGTTAGACAAAAGAACAAAATTTAAAAATCCTGATTTGTTTAAAAAATTGTGTTAAAATTAATACTGCAGGCATAGAATCAAGAAAGCTGATAAGACACAGTGATTGTGATTTGGTTTGTGTACAATCTTATTTTATTTATTTAAAAATTTTCATTCGAATTCATCAAGTTGCCTTTATCCATTTACATGTGTTTTTCTTTAACAAGTTTTGAGTTTGGAGATCTGCATCATGTAATTTATCATAGGGCATGTTTAGATATTACCTTATCTGACATGTGGCTAAAGAAATATATATACTTTCACTTATTGTTTCCAAAATGTTGAAAAAGTGTTTTACCACTTTCATAAGATATTTTAAATACAAGATAATTTAGTTGTACATTGTAGCCTATATCATCATTTATGCACAAAAGTGCACTATGCAAACATGTTTTGTTCCTTTCATTGTCTCCACAAGTTTATAAACTGTATAACAAAGGTTTGAAAAGTACTCATTCATTTCACACATCATTCACAAGTACTCTAAGGTGGTTCAGAATTGTTATTTTTCCTTTTCTTTTAAGATGCAGGCATCTCATGTTTTTGTAGTTTGTTTTACTTTATTACCTAAAGATTGGTTTTAAGTGTTTTATAGTAGGGTTAATATTATATTTTACTGTGCCATATATGTATATAGGATGAATGTGTTTGAAATGATCAATTTTATTAGTTGTATGAATTATGCCTATGAATGAAAACTGTTAACAAAACGTTGCTGCTTTATTGTTTTGACAGTACGTTACCACTTATGAAAGATAAGTTACAAGTAAAGCACATATTGTGTTAATTGTGTAAGTTTGTCTAAAGGTCATCTTGCCCACCTCATCCCACTGACTATATAGAATGATTACTTTCAGATATTAGCTATAACATATTATTAAGCAAACATAGAACCAAGATCAGGGCTTTTGGAATTATAAGTCTTAAATCATGTGAATTCATTTAGTCTTATAAAGTACGTAGATAAACTGAGAGAAATATCGCACTTCTGGAGAGAAAAAAAATAATAAAAACAATTACAATATACAGTGAAGACAGGAGAAAATTAGGGTATCAAATCTATAAAATAGACATTATGCATTAATACACAGAAGACTGGTTTAGTCAATGTTCCTGTTTACTTCATGATTTTCTAACCATTTGGAATTAAGAATGAATAACAAAACTTTCTGAAACTATTACAATGACACAAAATCTTTTGCTGCAATGCGGCTGACAACTGATCCCAATAGAGATGATACTTCAGTCTCTACTCCTGTAATTTTGTACTCTTTTTTAATTAAGGAGTTATCTGGCGAGAACTGTTGATTCCCTGAAGGTTCATCGCATTGAAAGTGTGACAAAACCTTATCTAGTTCTTCTTCGTTCTTCCCAATCACACATACAACAGCATTATTATCAGTATCACTTATTCCAAATTTTATCAAAGATTGGGTAATGTTCTTGGACAACGATAAGTTGAATAATATTTCAGTATATAAGCTCTTTGTTGCCATTTTATTTTGTTGTTCATTCAATACTGCTTTCTTAGCAGCTACTGCAATTTGTAATGGATCCACAATTAAACTCGGCTTCAAAATGCAACATTGTATAGAGCCTCCTATAACCATTTTGCGTACTTCCGGAATATTTTTCACATTTTTTAATAAAACTACAAATAGTTCTTTCCCGGAATCCAGAGTAACAGAATACACCATTGTAATATTTAGCTCAGGAATTACTTCAGTAACATTCCTCAATTAAAAATGTTAGTTTTTAGACTTGTGAGCAAAAAATCTTCCCGTTCTCAGTGAGAAAATGTGATCTACCGACTAGGTTAGGTTGCTTAGTACTACGACAAACGATTTATCAACAAACACGGCAGCACAGCACCAAAAAGGCAAGTCACAAAACTCGACTCTCTTGGGGACGCTTCGAGTCTCCAGATTCGATTCATGTGGAATCGGAAATTCTTCTTGCTGCGAGTTGAAATGTTTGTAAATTTATGGACTGGCGTGCGGTAGTCCTCGCCACCCGTGAGGTGTTGGCGCGCAGCTTGAAGGACGCCCTTCCTTCAAAACTTTTTCTAGGGTTTTCGGGTATGAAGTAGCGCCCGTACTTTGTGTTACGATTACTTGCTGGGAGTAGGTTCTTGTTTATATGTATATACGAATATTAGCTTCTTTTGTCGACGAAACAGGGCTCAATGAAGGAAGTTCAATTTTGGATTTCTTGTTTTTTTTATGGAGTCGATAATACCATTTTTTTTGTTAATTAAAGTAAGAAAGTCTATGAAAAAGCACTGCGAATCACTGAAAAAAAAACATTCGCGGCTTACTAAATGAATTTCAGATTAAATGTAAGATTGCTTGAAGTATGTTTCCTAATGCCGAGAAAAAAAAACACACTAAACAAATATTCAACGCATATTTTAGGGACAATAATGTCTCGAGATAGTTTTTTGCTGTCACTGAGAATGCTTCATTTTAGTGACAAAAAATGTAGGACATGGCAGTATTCGCCTTTTCAAAATAAATGTAAATGCTATTGGCCTGAGCAGTGCAAACTCACTTTTCTCGTTCGGAAAGTTGTGCGTCGATGAAAGCCTAATTTTGTTCGAGGTACGGCTATTTTTCAGTATATCACTTTAAAACGAAGCAGGTTTGGAATCCGTGTGATTATGAAAGGGGATTGAACCTCGGTTTTATTATTCGCCGTGAGAAACGATTCTTTTGTGAGGCATGTAATGTGGGTCTGAGTGTTACCAGTATCGGCCAGAGTCGCCAGTATCGGCCGAAAGTCCATATCGAAGAAAAAAGATAGAAAGTATGCGCTTATATGAAATGTGCATTATGCATATGTATAATGCACATTTTATTGCAGCTAACTAAATTTTAGTTAACATATTGCTTACTTGTAGAATTATCAATAAAATATATTGTACATTCCATAAATTACGGTTTTTGTAGTTCCATCTCACGCAACTCATTGGATTTCCACTCTGTCCTAAACATTATGCACTAGGAACGTACGAAATTGTTATTTTCTACATGTCCACCACACTACAGTAAACACCGAGGTGGAATTACAAAAACCGTAATTTATAGAATGTGTAATATACTTTATTGATTACCCTAAAAGTAACCAATATATGTTAACAAATTAAAATTGTATTTAGTTGTAATGAAATGTGCATTATGCATATGTATAATGTGCATTATTCGGTATATTGTTTACCGAAACGTCGGCTATGTAAAGTTGTAATATTATTGTATTAACCCAAATCAAGAACCACTAGAATATTATAACGGGTCAAGAATCCATGAGTGTTATTGGAAATAGCATACAAGCGTTCAATCAATAATAATGACATATTATAAATAGAGTATTATATATAATATATAATTTTATATATGAAGTAAAATTTATAACATTTTCTGTCTCGCATATTCTTGCAGAGATTTTGTTTTAGTTTGCCTTTAGTATGATATTTTTTACACGTTTGTTCACATAGATTACATACATATTTACATGATTGTTTGTGGTACGCCTTTGTTTCGCAGATATGATGAAACCGAAAGAGATGGCTTAGGGAATCAACTGATGTCACTGCCCGTTCCTCTGACATGGAGATCCTAGGTTTGAACCCCGGCAGTGGCAAGATTTCCGACACTGACTTGTCAGCTAGGTCGAATTCAGTCGCTATCTGGAGGAGAATTATAGCGACCGGCTGCTCCGATCGGTAGTTTTCTGAGGTTTTTCCAATCAACACCAGGCGAATGCCTGTGCAGTACCCTACCAAAAGGGCCACGGACCGCGCGCGATCTTTCTTGTCCTATCCTCACCCCTTACACACACACTAACACGAGCACACATGCTGGGAGACCGGTCGGATTAGAGTTTGTCCCGGTTGGGGCGGTGCCCCGCTCGAGGGAGACACGTGGCTGGGGAAAACCCCGCTTGCCGACGGTAGTTCAGCATGGGATCTCGTCATAAAGCGAGGGATCACCGCCACCTTCCGAGCAAAAATATGCACGTACGGAACTAATGACCCTAGTAGTTCACGTGCCCGGAATCACTAAAAAAATGAACCTATCAATGTGATGATGAAAAACATGGACTGCAAGTCGTGTCGCTAGGTGTCGTAATTCCTTTCATGCTTTTGTCCATTCGCCATTGCTTCAGTTGAAAAGAAGTCTTCATTCAAAGAAGTGCTCTTTTAGTTGTCATTCTTTGAGGGTAGAAACCGTATCCGCATATCTTCGAATAGAAATGGTTCTTTTGCAAGGCAGTATACGTAACGAGAGGGTGTTCATTTTGACAAAGTTCTTTCTTCAGATAAATGGCTTTTAATCTTTCAAGCATCAGCAATTGCTTGGTTATGAGATGTTCCCATATTATTTCTATTGCGTATGATGCTATTGGTAATACTTACGTTAAAGTCTCGTAAGCGTGGTGCATGTTGTTCCTTCCGAAGGTAGCGGTGATCTTCCCCCGCTAGATGGTAAGATCCGGCGCAGACCTACCGTCGACTAGCGGAGTTTTCCCCAACCAGTTATCTCCCACCAGTGGATATCGCCCCAGCCGGGACGAGCTCTAAAGCTCTCGACCGGTCTCATGTGTGGCACTGTTGTGCATGTTTGTGTGTGTGTAAATAAGAGGTGAAGATAGGACAAGGAAGGAAAGATCGCGCGCGGTCCGATATCCTTTCATTAGGGTCGGTGGCGACCCGTGCAGGCGGTTCGGTGAAACCCCATAAAATTCCATGAGATTAGCATTTTTTATTTCATATGAATGAAGAGTTAAAAAGTTCGGCCAAGAATTCAATCAAATATTTGATTAACAGCGCGAAGGTCTGATGCCCCGCGTCATGCCATAAAGGCTTTTTTTGTCAAGAAAGATAGACTCACGGGAATCCCAAGCTTATATATGAGAGGGGAATGGTAAAATACCCAGATTCATAAAGAGATGCTTACAAGAGTCACGTGGGTGGGATTTGATGATTATCCGTACAATTCTTATTTGTAATCTAAAAGTCTGGGAGCTATAAGATGTATTTCTTCAGAATATTATGCCATATCTCAGGCGGGAATGAACATTCGCGAAATATACACGAGCAGTCTGGAGGCTGACTGAATTTGAAAGAAATCTGAAAGCGTAGCATAAATAACTTAATTTAGTGTTGAATTTCTTTAAATGGAGGTTCAATTTAAAATTTTACAGAATTGAAAGACCTAAAACTTTTGTTATCTTAACATCAGTCAATGGCACTCCGTTCATTTTGAATGGAGTTCAGAGCTATTTATTTGAAATGGAGAACTGCTTCTTTTCATTTACTATTAATTTGTTATTACGGACCCAATTTGAAATATCTTATATTGTACTATTTACGGTTTCTTTATTGCGAAGAATATTCGTATCATCCGCATAGAGAACTTTTCCTCCATTTCTAATCGTCGAGGGCATATCGTTTACGTATAGTAGGAAGAGAATAGGGTCTAAAATCGATTCCGGTGGGACTCCACAACCAATTGGCAAAGAAATGGAAAGGTGTGTACATAATGTTCCATTCATAATGTGTAAAGTTTCCACTACAAGAACTGTCGGGTGAAATTCTATCTTCCCAACCGTCCAGACAAATTTGGACATCCTTAGATCCGGGGAAGGGGCGCGTTCACCAATCCCTACAGTCATAAATTGTGCCTATGTGATTGGTGCAAAGTAACACGGAGCAGGATAGACATTCTTCCCGGTGGGGGGGGGGGGGTCCCATGTTTACGTATGAGGCGGAAATATTGTCTTTCCCTGCTGAAGGAGATATTTTACTTGCGCTTTCGCCATAACGAAAAAATATTTCTAAGCGGGGGTTTTTCGTCCAGAATTACTGACAATAGACCAGGAAATATTTAACACTTTAGTAACAATTATACTATCTTTTAGCAATCAATTTGTAACTCTATCAAACTGTTATATTAAAATATTGGCCACATTGCCGCACAATTTGCGGATCCTTTCTGGCCGTTCTAACGAGCATTTCTAATTTCTTTGTGAAATTGTAAATTGTTGCAAAATTGTTAATTCACCGATTTCGCCTCTGGGGCATCGGGAGACTCCGCTTCTTTAGATCTGCAAAAGTTGGAAATTGCTTACAAATTAGCAAATGTTGCAAATTTGTGTGTATAGTCTCCTCTAAATTCCCTTTGAACGCAATACAAAATTCTGCAGTCCGATCGGTGCTATCAACTTCCGTTCTCGAGGTATTTAATTGTTTATTAGAATATAGTGTCTCATAATTACCTCCATTTTTTGCACTCCATTCGCTCATCGCACACAAGTATGCTGAAAAGAGAGGTTTGCAATGTCTTGCTTCGATTGCTCTCTTCATACCGAATGCCGAAGGCAGAGGTGATATCGCGACCTCGGTAGCGCCTCGAGACGATAAACGGTGCGACGGAGCGAAATGATTGTCTTTACAATTTCTACGAAAAAAAAACAAAGAAGATGTAACGTTTGTTAATAGTTCTGTGGGATCATTGCAGTAACAATATCTGTCTTACCGCAATTATGATTGTTTTTTAAGATTCAACCTTTGCTTTTTATTTAAACAACCATTAAACCACCAACTCCCGTTTCTATATTTTAATTCGCTTTAGTGTTATTAGTATATAAACAAATTATATGGTAAATTTAAAACGCCGAGAGAAGCAGCTTTATGGCAAATATGAACAGAAGCTATATTATTTATTTTTATTTTCTCTATTCAGTAGTTCAACTTGCATTGCTGTATATTTATCGGCTAACAAGGCAACTGTTTATAAAAACATATTGCAAATTTCATTATGTCGAAAGGCAGGCTCAAGAAGCAATCGTGCCAATGATATTTTCTCTCAAGGGTTAGTTGAGCAATGGAAGGGTTCAGTATTCTGGAACTTTTCAATGACCCTGGTTCGCATGACTTCGATAGGAAAATTAAATGAAGATTCCTTTACTGATAATATGAAAAACAAATTGTTGATGAAACTAATCGCAGTCCGCAAAAACTATTGCCATTGAATGAATGCCGCCCAAATCATGAACGGTTTCTCAGTCTAGAATG